ACTCTATGATGCTAATTAATTTCATGCATGTTTGCCTGGGGCATTATTTCACTTCCCTGGATGTTCCTATGAGATTCAGAATTGAGAGTATATTCATTGTACACAAAAATATAAAGGGTCTTTGTAAGGCAGTCAAATATAAATGACATTTTAGGCTATCATCACTGTGAATGTTACATGAATCTCAAAGTCAAAAATCTGTTCACCTTATTAATTCAAGCATTAATTCAAGCATTCATCTTAATTCAAGCATTTTCTACATGGATATAGAATATTGAGTTCAATTCTTTCCTCTGTTTAGTGAGATGAGCTCTTTATGCTGACCTTGTTTTGCAGATTTATTTCATTCTGTTGTTCCCAATATGAGTTAATTTGCATTTGGGGGCTTTATATGTACCTAGTTGGCCAGAAAATTGAGCAGGCAAAATGTAAACAGACCAAAAAAAACCCACAAAACCTGCAACAAAAACACCCTCTATGTTCAGAACAATTGAATAGCAATATTTCTCTACATTAAAGACAAGAAGCTACCTATAAATCCTTTTTCAATTCCATAATATTTACAGCCTGAAATTAGTGATGCAAAAGTAGCTTTCCCAGTTCCTGTGCAGTTATGAGTGATCATGTGACTCGTTCTTCCCAATACAAAGTGAACAAATGTGACAGATGTTACCTGATAAGAAGTATCAGATGTTACATGATAAGAAGCTCACGTTCCTTCTCAATGACCTCTTAGTCCACATCCAAAGAATTGATGTAATATACTATGATATTATCTAGGATAGTTGATCTGTGAGCCAGAGGTTGCTAGTATTCTTATAAGACCAAGCAGGAAAAAAATGGTTCAAGAGAACTGTTCTAAGAAGAATTCATAAGAAATAATGTTTTATTCTGTTGAACTGTTGCATTTGGATTTAATGATCACCACAATCTTGTGGGTCTTCACTAATCTTTACATATATATACTCTCTGCTATTGCTTACAAATCTTTAAGATTTCCAGAGATCCCAGCCTATGTATCTCCCTAGGAGCTTCTGTAACTTCACCTACTTTTCAATCCAGTGCACATACTTTGTGGGTATTTCAATGTGTTAAAGACTTTACTTGGGGGGGTGGGGCAGAATGTCATACATCTTGGTATGAAATGAAATTTTTACTGGAATGA